ATCTCTCCATGTTTGGCTTCTTCACTTTTAATCTTGAGTTTTGCCTACTTTGGTTCATTAATTCTTGTTCTTGGTTTTGCTTCTTGATCTATAATCTTGAATTTATTCTTCTTAATTCTTGATTGTGGAGTTTGGATTTTCCTCTTCAATATGCTTTCTCTTGTATTATTGTATTAATAGGATGACACAAAGAATGAGAAGTTGCAAATAAATGGGGACCATTACCCTGTATATAGTTTTCATATGTATTTCGCTTATCATGAAATATAATTCTAAAAAGATTCGGTCTCTACACATATAATTTGTCTCACACTTTATTTAGATGCTCCAAACCCAATTACTTAATTCTTTATTAGACCATTTTAATTTTGAGCTTAACTCTAAAATGGACTTTTACACAATTAATTGCATATGTTGGCCCATATGACAAATTAATAATTTCTCAACAATTTTCGACTTGGGCAACATATGTTATCTTATAAATGTGTATGACTTCACGAGCCCAATACTTTTGTTATCATAACCAGAGGGTTTCTCCAAACAATCTTGTCTATTAATTATGCTAATATAGGATTAAAGCGGTATATGTCATAATTATCATAACTAAACCCTCAATAGTCACGTATATAAATACAATCAAATGACACAAATCAAGTGTAGAGGTGTAGCATGGAAATTATATGCAATGTAATCTAAACGTGCCTATTTCCAACTGGTCCTACCTTATGAGATCAAACCAAAACTTTAATCAGAGTGAAACTAAACTGAATTCTTTATTTCTAAAATAAACCAATATCCATGGATAGAATTATGTGTCCAAAATAGACAACATCCAAATACAAACTCCTACTAAATTGAAATATCATCAAAAGATGCAACACTCATATGAGCAATATGCTCATGAAAGACATTGAGTGAGAGCCCCTTAGTAAGTGGATACTAATTATAGAGTTTGCCCTAACTATTCCATTGAAACCTGAACACTCTAAATTATTTTCTCGACAACTAGGAAACTTAATGTCTATAAACTTTGACATCATCAAGCTCCTGTTAGAATACAATACTTCTATTGTCACAAATGACTAAAGTGGTCTTACAAATTCATCCAAAATATACAGCCTAGTGACAAAATTTTGCCGTCATATTCCATGACCAAAATTAGAATATCCAATGATCTCCAATTGGTCTGATTTTTCTAAATGTGATCATGTGATCTTTAGTTCTCTTTAAAATACCGAATATGTTAATTGGCTGCTTTCTAGATATCCATCCCAGAGTTATTAAATATCTACCTAGCATGCAACCAATGAATACCATATTCGGACGTACGCAAACATTAGCATACATTAAACATCCAATTGCTCAAGCAAAGGGGGCATTAATTAGACTAAAGTTGTCTCCCTTAGTAATAGGGATATCACCTGGTTTATATACCTATATTCGAAATCCTTTAAAACTTTATCAATATAACTCTTTTGTGACAATCCAAATATACCCCGAGAATGATTCTAATGTATTTGTATTCTTGACACAAAAGAGGGTCACCAAAATCTTTTATTTCAAAATTTCATAACAGAAATTTCTTGTTTTATTCAATAGTCTTTTACCATTGCAGGCAAATAGTATGTCATTGACATCCAATACCAAAAAATATGTTATCTCCCACTGAACTTATGATATACACAATCATCATCTGAATTCATCTAAAAAATCGAACAAGATAATTATTTGATAAAAGTTGTGATACCATCGACGAGAAACCTGCTTAAGCCCACGTATGTATTTCTTTAATTTATAAACCATTATATGTAGTTTAAGATCAAATGCCATAACAATCCTAAAAGAGTATTCAAGGCATCAATCCATTCTTAAGAATTATTCTTTTGCATTGCATGATTAAAGTTGTTTGATCAGATCTTTTTCCACCAATATAATACCATTCTTATTTTCTTGGAGAAAGACTATAAAATTATTCAAATTGCCTTTTTCTTTTCTTTAGTAGATTTTCTTAATGACATTTGTTCTTGAGATTGTTGAGTTTGTTCTTCTGAAATAATCTTTTGATTGTGTATGAGAGATTTTATAATATTGTCTTGATCTGAAATTGCTTATTAAATATGTTCTGGAGCAAGAATTTATCCCTAGTCTAGATCATAGTCAATTGCAACAAAAGAAATATTTATATATTCCTCCTCAAAGACAAAATCTCTAACCTTATCTCCCCTCGGCAAACTCTACATTCTCAAAGAACTTGGCATTTTTCGTTTTGAAAATTGACTTAATAGTTTGATCTTTAAAATTTGTAACCCTTAATAGTTGCTTTACTTGAAACTTTATTCTAAATTCAAGTTGTAGTCTTTAGCGCTTCAACCTAGAAAGATTTTGGTGTAGTGTGGGACAATTCCACATTCCTCTAGGAATTTAGCAAAGTCCTGGACGTTGTTCTCTTGATCCATCATATCTGTTATAGTCCTATTAAACAATGAATTTCTTGATGTTTTCCTGCATTGAATTGCTTCTTTGATTCTCTAGTTGTGTTCTCCTCTTCTCAAACTGTGAAGTCCCTTCAAAAATATGGAAACTTGTATTTATAGTTGCCTCCTCATTTGTGTCGCAAGTAGGGTCTTGGCTTTCTGTGGGGGCCTCAGTGCCTTTTGTGTGGCGCTACGATGCCACAACTCTGTTCACACAGTGGCATTGTGGCAGCCCTCGTCGGTTCACCTTATGCTTTAACTCTTTTGCCCTTTCTTCCATCATTTCTTCTCAGTCCACGCCAATAGCTTTATTTGATGAATTGTTTTGTATCTTTCACCATCTCAACATTTCTACCCCGTAAAATCTAGCTCACAATCAAGTTTACAATGGAATAAAACTTGTGAATAAAACACACTCGTCATTATTCAATTTTATTTATATTGCTCCATTTATTTTTTAAATGAAAATTAATGTTAGTATTTATAAGTTTAGAATTTCTAAACTTGGGCACATATTTCCATCTAGGTTCTTTTTCTTTTTAATTTATTTTTAAATTTGGATTGATTTTGCGGTCAAGGTGTAAGGTATCTTCCATGTAACTTCCACTCATGGATCGTGTCATGTAGAATGGACAATTAAATTCCACAAAAGGTGGTGTATCATGAAGAACTTGACTCTTTTTTTTATTTTTCCTTCAGAAGTCGGTGTGTCTAACATTTTTTTTTTTTTTTTTTTTAGTGTTGTTTACAATTAGTCTAGGTCTAGTTAATGATTTCTATCAATTATAAGACGACTGACATATAGTCAAAATTTGTTGAGTCATTGTTATTTTACCAATTCAAAAGTAACTAATAGTACCGACTGAATTCAGATCAACTTGACATAGATCATGTGGTAGCAAAAACTCAATTAGTTTCATTATAAGAAAAAAAGAAAGCATCCCAAGAGAAAAATTGATTTAGATTTTATATTAATTTTGCCCGTATTTCACATAGTAATTAGATTTTAGTAGATTTATAAGTAACGAAATGCATGATTAAAAAATCGAAAAAAATTGATGACATGAAACGTGTAATTAAAATTAATATTTGACTTTAACTTAAATATTTATTTTTTAAGCTACACCAATTAGAGACTTAATTACAAGTAAAATATTGATCTTTCCTATCATCACTTCTTCGTACGATTAATCAAACAAAATGTGGGCCATCAATCCTAAAGATATTTCTCATTGTATATTTATTTTATAAACATTGACATGCATGGAGAAGCCATTACTATCATTAAGTCAATTCTTATGAGCATTAGACGACCGGCGTTTAATTACAACAACTTTTGTGTGGGTATTAATAGTTAGTTAAACAAAGACTTTTACTTAATCAGCCGGCCTCTTTCATTCCCTTTTAATATACTTCCTCAATGGATGTTAAGTGGAGAAGATGATGTTCAACTGTTCGCTTTTGCTTTTCATTTCGTATTTGAATAATTTTTTGTTACATTAAAAATAGTGACGGACGCTTATTGAGAGAGGGTAAATTTTGACCAGGTTAAAAAGAAAGAGAATGATCCTAGCAGGCCAGGTCAAGATCACGACAAGTGCAATAAAACACATAATTTGGTGCAAATGATCAAGGAAATAATATAATAAGATATTTCCATAATCCCAACTGTCATACCTTCAACTAAGCTCTTGTTTGCTGAAGATTAAAATCATATTTTTTAATATATTTTGATAAAAGTTGATGAAATTTGTGGTTGAAAAGTTATGGATCTCATTATATATGTCGTTAAAATTAATTATTAACTTTGACTTGATTAAAATCTAAATTTTAATTTCTATCCAATAAGGGCTAAACATGGAGACATTCCAACGAGTTTCAAAATTTTGTAACTTTCATTTTTCCGTCATGAAGTTTTTTTCAAACAATCATGCTTAGTGTACATCACATCTGACAATTTTTTGACAGAATGCCACACATTGGACAGTTTCAAAGAAAAAAATAATTGTTTTTTCATCCAATAAACTTTTGCCAACACACTTCTTCGTCAACAAGGTGGTAAAAAGTGGTGTACAAATAACAAAATCCTTTTTCAAATTGCGTTTAAAGACTTCAATTTTTAGTTGAATTTAAATGAAAATAAACCAATGAAAGGAAGGCTGATTCCTGGAGGTAAAATATAAAAACTTTGTTGGTCAATGTAAACACTATATGGGAGTAAAAAGAACGGAAGTTTCCATAGGTTCAATAAGGTTGTATTGATGAAGGCCTAAAATTACAGTTTTAAAGAACAAGTAGAATCAGTAATTTTATGTTGTTTTTAAAATCAACCAAGATTTGCTTGAGAAGGTTGTCACCGTTTGGAGAGGTAAAATCAAGTGATTTGCAACCAAAACTCTCCTGTTAGCCAAATTGAATTTGATACGAATGACATTCATTTTTTATCGTAACAATATAACGTCGTCCTATTTCATATTTTTCATATTAAAGAGGGAATGCATCCAAATTAATTACAGAAACCTCGAAATAAAATCTTCAACTTAAACTTCAACATCCAAGAAAATGTCGACGAATCAATCAGTAACATGACTGATTAACTGTTCTCACACTCGAACTACATTCACAAAACCAATAAAAAGTTAAAACAGAATGCAGAAGCTGGGAAAAAAACATTCTAAATGGAACTTTGGAAAGAATTAGGACATGGTGGTACTGGAATGTCAAAAGTCCCATCCAGCATCAATAGAACAATTTTCATTGATGGACGCATTGATGGCTCGTCTTGGATGCACCAGAGACCAATTTTAATCATCCTGTCCAATGTTTGTGTTTCAACCTCCTCATATCCCACTAGTTTATTCAACTCTCCGACAGCATAACAGTTGTAAACCCATTCTTGAAGAATTGCTTCATTCTCAGAAAGTCTCCGATCGACACTTTTTCGACAACATATGATTTCTAGTAGCACGACTCCAAAGCTGTAAACATCTGCTTTAACTGTTACAGGTAAATTCATGTTCCACTCTGGGGCAACATAACCCCTTGTTCCTCTGATCCCTGTATTGGTATATGTTTGATCTAGCATTAAGAGTTTTGCCAATCCAAAGTCGGAAATCTTTGCACACCTGTGCTCATCCATGAGAATATTTTGAGGTTTAATATCACAATGAATGATCCGTGTCTCACACTCCTCGTGCAAGTAGAGGATGCCTCTGGCAATATCAAGAGAAATTCTGATTCTTTCTTCCCAGCATGGCCGACTTTCGGGATTGAAAAGTATATCTGCAAGTGATCCATTGCTCATGTATTCATATACCAGAAGCCACTTGGATGCTTCAAAGCAGTAACCAAGAAGTCGGACTAGATTGCGATGATATGTTTTCCCTATCACCTTCATCTCAGTCTGGAACTCTTTCTCTCCAGCCAATTCTTTCTCAAGCCTCTTCACGGCCACAACAATTTTGTTGTTTGTTAGGATTCCTCTATAAACTGCGCCAGATGCCCCTCGACCGTAACCCCTTGTTCCTCTGATCCCTGTATTGGTATATGTTTGATCTAGCATTAAGAGTTTTGCCAATCCAAAGTCGGAAATCTTTGCACACCTGTGCTCATCCATGAGAATGTTTTGAGGTTTAATATCACAATGAATGATCCGTGTCTCACACTCCTCGTGCAAGTAGAGGATGCCTCTGGCAATATCAAGAGAAATTCTGATTCTTTCTTCCCAGCATGGCCGACTTTCGGGATTGAAAAGTATATCTGCAAGTGATCCATTGCTCATGTATTCATATACCAGAAGCCACCTGGATGCTTCAAAGCAGTAACCAAGAAGTCGGACTAGATTGCGATGATATGTTTTCCCTATCACCTTCATCTCAGTCTGGAACTCTTTCTCTCCAGCCAATTCTTTCTCAAGCCTCTTCACGGCCACAACAATTTTGTTGTTTGATAGGATTCCTCTATAAACTGCGCCAGATGCCCCTCGACCGAGCTCTTCTTTGAATTCATTCGTGGCTTGCACAAGTTCTGCGTAAGTAAATGCTCGTAAACCAACATCCTCAATCAGTTCAACATTTTTATTGTTGGAAATCGTATAGGTCCTGGCATGATTTCTGTGGACATAAACCCAAGAAATTGCCAATATGACGGCAGCCAAAGCAACAAGTGAAATGCCAATGATTAAGATTTCTAGACGACGTTTGGGTTCGTTCTTGATTTCTTTAACTGAATTCTCTGAAACTGTTGTACTTGTGCTCACCTTGACAAGAGCAATTCTTGGACCATTACGCAATTCATCACTTTGCAATATTCTTCCGTATCTCAGTGGAAGCTTTTGCTTTTTGCAACTTCCATATTGAGAGAGAGTTCCTAGAAAGAGAGCTGCACCACAATTGCGGTCCTCTAAACAAGCTTTAATACAATCTTCTCTAGTCATATCTTTTACATCAGCATAATTAGTATCTTCCCACTCTGTGTTATCCAATGATCTGATTTCATAACTGACATTTTTATCCTTGGCTTTACAACCTTCCATGGCAAAATTCCTCTCGCATCCTGAGCTCCAATCGCCTGGATTAACATGATCGAATCCCGGAAGACATTCACACCCTGAAACTCCGACGGCAGCCAAAGCAACAAGTGAAATGCCAATGATTAAGATTTCTAGACGACGTTTGGGTTCGTTCTTGATTTCTTTAACTGAATTCTCTGAAACTGTTGTACTTGTGCTCACCTTGACAAGAGCAATTCTTGGACCATTACGCAATTCATCACTTTGCAATATTCTTCCGTATCTCAGTGGAAGCTTTTGCTTTTTGCAACTTCCATATTGAGAGAGAGTTCCTAGAAAGAGAGCTGCACCACAATTGCGGTCCTCTAAACAAGCTTTAATACAATCTTCTCTAGTCATATCTTTTACATCAGCATAATTAGTATCTTCCCACTCTGTGTTATCCAATGATCTGATTTCATAACTGACATTTTGATCCTTGGCTTTACAACCTTCCATGGCAAAATTCCTCTCGCATCCTGAGCTCCAATCGCCTGGATTAACATGATCGAATCCCGGAAGACATTCACACCCTGAAACTCTATCCGTCACATTGCAGAAACTATTTAACCCACATAAACCCTTGGGGATACATTTATCTTCCGTGGATGACCATTCTTTAGTCCAGTTGCCTCGATGATCCAGCAATCGATTATATAGTCGAAAAATACCATCCACATCAATTCTCATGAGGTAGATCGTTTTTGTTCGATATTGTCCTGTCGTTAGATTGAGTATAATGGAGCTTCCATTGAACAAATAAAGAAGGCCATTATTATCAAGATTCAATGATACATTACTGCCCTTTCCGTCAGTGAATGATGAATAGTAAGAATAATTCGGCTTGTCTTCTGTGTTCACGGGGTATTGCACCAGGTTCCCATCAGTTTGCATCTTGAGACGGAAAATCCCTCTGGCAGGGTTTGTTGCCGAAGCACTGGAGAAAATCTCTTTTCCTGCTGAGAGGTGTTGGCCAGGCAAAAGAGTGTCCGTCGGGTTGTCAAAACTCTGCCACGTGATCCTTTGAGACGAATCGTACAGAACAAAATTGCCAGTGTCAAGCATTGATGCTGAAGCAGAAGCTGAAGCAATTATTATGTCAGATCGATCTTTCTGCTGCAAACTGAGCTTTCCATCATATCTTAATTGCAAAACCACATTGCTGGGAAAAACGGGACTATCCCAGTTGGCTGTCCACACTACAGTCTTTTCTGGAATCCCGGCAATAAAAACTCCAACAGCATAGCCATTGGTTAGCTTGTAGAATCCAAAGGCATAGAGTCCAGAAGGCGACAACCATGATGAATTTGTAGTGGGTGTTAAAGAAGATCCAAGATAAATACGGGAATATCTTTGTTGCTGGGCTGATGCTGCTATTACCGCAGAAATAATTAGAAAAGAGGGAAAAGCAGCCATGGAAAATAGATTCTCCATTTTTCGTGGGATATGGCTTCTTTGTTTCATTGAGGAAGGGAGTGGGTGTTATTTAAAGAGATCAGCAACACTCTCTATTGACTCGTTGGCGTCAATGCTTAAGCTCTATTTGTTTGAACAAAGTGTACATGCATGAATCTAGGAAAAATAATTCCAAGGTCACTGTTTTTCTTGATTGCGAATACCAAAGAACGATAATAATCAATTCGTGCAATCAGTCTGAAATTTATTAAAAATTAAGGCTTAATTTATTGTGTTGTTCGTATTAGTATTAGCCATAAAATATTTTTTAACCTTGAAAAAGTCCACCTGCAAAGCCCGTGTCCCCAAAATGGGGCTCGGCCCGAGCTTAGGCTCGGGTCTACCGAGCCCCGAGCCGAGCCGACTCGGGCTTTTCCCGAGCCGAGCCACGGGCGGCCCGAGCCGGCGAGCCCGATTGCCATCCCTAGGAGTGGGTGTTATTTAATGAGATCAGTAACACTCTCTATTGACTCGTTGGCGTCAATGCTTAAGCTCTATTTGTTTGAACAAAGTGTACATGCATGAATCTAGGAAAAATAATTCCAAGGTCACTGTTTTTCTTGATTGCGAATACCAAAAGAACGATAATAATCAATTCGTGCAATCAGTCTGAAATTTATTAAAAATTAAGGCTTAATTTATTGTGTTGTTCGTATTAGTATTAGCCATAAAATATTTTTTAACCTTGAAAAAGTCCACCTGCTGACAAGAAAGAGCATCTACAAAGTCTAATTCTTCGACTTTTCACTTGTGTATGGAATGATGTAAATATTATATTGAAATTGCCATAAGAACAAATCGACTAGACTTTGATATTCAAAATGTCCAAACAGAATGTCATGGCTACGGGAGCTCTTCTTGATATTTGCAAAATTCAGTCTCGTCTAATAAGCTCCAAAAATATAAGAGTCTAAGCTTTCCAAATCACAAGAATAATTAAAATATGATAAGTGCAATTTGGTTCAGGAATATATCAAAACTATAGAGAATAATATTCTTCTTTTAAAAATTTATAAATTAATGGTATTTGAAATAAATAATGTGAAAGGTAAGAGAATTTGTAATAATTTTCCAAGTAAAAGTTACAAAGAGGACTTAATTTTGTTAAAAAAAACAAAAAAAAAAAAAAAACCTCATATTCAAAACAAACAAATCCACGGAACTTGACTTTTCAAATTATCCAAGCAGAACCTTATTGTTATTGTGGCTGAGTCTTCTCTTGGTCAAGTCAAGTTGAAGTTTTTAATGAAAAATTAACTCCTTTTAGTCAAGCTTCAAATCATCCAAACAGAGTCTCAAGCTATTGTGGCTGAGGCTTCTTTTGACAAAGTAAAGTTGAAGTTTTTAATGAAAAATTTGTTACGCCTCTTCCAACAAGGCTCCAAAAACTCTTATATGGCAGTTACATGACAGGCGAACTTGGGCCCACACTTTACATCATTCTGCCCAAGAGGCAATTTGGCCAAACCCTCGTGAATAGGCTGAACTGCTATAGAGGGCTGAACCCATTTGTTGGAATCAATCCCATATGGGAAACCCTCATAGATGGTGTGAGACTACAAGGGGCTCAGCAAGAGATCTTTTATATAATCATTAGCCAGTGATTGATGTGACAATTCACTGCTATCGTCGCCCTATTCACCAATCAAGTAAAAAAAGCCTTGCGTCAAACTTTTGGGCAACTAAATAATATTAGTATTAAATGCTTATGATAGATTGATACCTTTGACTACAAGCCTCAGCCACATGGATGAAGCCATGTATACTTTTACACTACGATCAATTCACCCCCTTTCTACTATAAAATCTTACACAATTTGTCATTCTAAAGGTAATACAGTTTAGATTCTCAAGCTATAACTTTCCTCTCTTTGCTATCACGAAATTTTCCAAAGCCAAACCTCATTTTACATAGGAGGCTCAGGTCTAAAGCACCTTCTACACTCAAATACATACAACTTCAATTGACTTGACAGTCGAAGTGTGCAGCCAATTCTACTACCATCGGAAGAAGTTACGTGTGGCTAACGGTTAGTCATGGTGTGCAGAAATCAGCCTTACGTGGACACAGGAGGCCTTAGAATCTGTTGGCCACATCGGAGGTACAAAAATCGAGGTCAATAGATTTACATGGTCTGCGAAAAGCCACGCACTATAACCACGAACATCGTTGTGAAAAAAGATACTGAAGAAAGTGTCTAAACGGGGAAGAAAGGTTTTGCTCTTTAAGAAAGAACAAATGGAAATACTCAAGAAATACTACCTGGAGTATTTTGTAATATCTAGGTTATTGATATACTATGAGTTTTAGCAACTATGGTTCCCATCTAAGGGCGAATGGAAAGTCTCTAAAGAAGAGATCTTTCAAACTAATGTCAACATTCTTCGACACCATCACTAGCACCACCGTATACGTGGGACATACCTTGCAAGAGAGGTGGAAGAAATGGATGCAAACATGAGGAATATAGACCAACAGAATACTGTCATGCAATAACTATTTATGCAAATGTAAGGATAGGCTGGGCATCAAATGCCTCGATAAGATGATTTGCAACGGCAAGACGAGGAGAAACATAGACTAAGGCTCAATCTCACAAACAAATGAGGGAGGTTGCCCCAGTTGGAAGAGAAATGGAGGTAGACATGTCAATTAATTACACCTCTAGTCAACCTATGGATAATCTGTCCCAAAGAGATGATAACTCACCTCCAAAATATGAACAAGAGCATGGACCTCAAAAGTCCTCCAGTATATTTGACAGGATTGGCCCATCTATGCCTAAAAATTATCCCCATAAGCCATTTTCTATAGTATATGCAAGGCCATGGCCTACGACAAGTCTCTTTACCTACAAATAGATGAGCAAAAGAAGATGCAACAAATTTGAGAAACCAGATTGGCCCATCACAGCCGCCCAGGGATCAAGCCAAAGAAGAAGATTTAGATGGCCCGTATAGATACTTCAAACTGGATGATAAGGTTGACAATGTCCCATTTTGCAAGAGTTGAGGAATGCCCATGTCTCTAACCATTTTGTACCACAAAAAATTCTGAAGTATGAAAAGAAAGGCAATCTGACAAAGCAACTTAACAACTATAAGTCCCTCATGAGCCTAAGAGAAACTTCAATTGTGTTAAATGAAGAGCCTTCCACCTTTCACTCATTGGGACTGTTGAAATATGGTACAGTCATATACCATTTGGGAATATCAAGAGTTGGCCAGACCTCAAAAAGGCTTTCTTGAATCAATATTTATCTAGTAAGGATGAAGAAGCCCACATTCACATCTTCAAGATATGAGGCAACAAGCAGATGAAAACTTGAAGAGCTACTTGACGCGGTTCACTAATGAAATGACTTACTGTGAACAAGTTATTGATAGAGAGGCCCTTTCAGCTTTGAGAAGAGGCCTCAACATGAATACCCTCTTTTAGAGGGATGTGTGAAATGAGAATCCCACCACTTACAATGTCTTAGTAGAAATGATGAGAAGTGAGATTGTCAATGAAGAATTGATAGATCATCGAAACCAAACCTTCATAAAACTTCCACTCTCTCAAAAGCAAAGACCAGGCCCTATCTCCTATCTGGTGAATCAACAATGGATCCAAGCCAGGCATACCATCGTCCCTACTTCAGGTTAAGCATTAGCTAATGTTACTTTAAATGTTGTACTCTCTTTGACATATGAAGAAGTTGGAACCAATGTCCCGAGGCAACCAAATCATTCAAAGCGTAGAGGTAGGGTTGGAACATGAGGCTAGGCGGCATCGCACAGAAGAATTTCCTAAACATAGGATGGATGAAGATAGGGACAGACCTAGAAGTGGCCAAAGACCAATTGGAAGACACTGATAATGCTTCTATTTGGGTTATAGACACCATCATTGAAGGTCTGGATGTTGGGAGAGAATTTCGAAATGCACAAAGTAGTTATGCTGGGAAAGCCAAGCACTACCCTATGACTAGTTGCATAGTCAATAGCACCCTTTAGAGATGGAAATATACCATTTTTTTTACTTTTATACAGAAAGATGCAATGGGCCTACATTATCTCCATTGTGATGCATTAGTGGTAAGGGCTATTAAAGTATGAAATGGTGTAAAGCTTATGTTGGTTGACAATGGAAGCTCCTTAATATTCTATTTGGAGCCACTTATTAAAAAATGTTAATAGACAATGAATTTACTACTATGACTTCCTCTTTGTATAGGTTCATAGAAGATAGTATCATTTTAAAGGAAAGATACTCTTACAATGGAAATGGGGTCACTCCCCTTGATGGCCATGGATGTCGGGCGAACTCGGGAGGACAGTGTCATAGTGAAAGGTTAACATCTCTCCACCCTTATTAGTCATGGCGAACATCAAGTAACTTCGTACAATCGAAACACTCAATGCAGATAGCTCTAGTGGCCCCCACTTCTGCCTCTATCAGACAGTGACAGAAGTTTTGGTTAGGCCGACTACTATAGGCTAGGGCTATCATTGCTCGGGTGGCTGGTGCTAATTACCGTCTTTTGGCTAAAGAACCCCTCATTGAATTAGCTAAAGAATTCCAAGAGACACTTAAGATACTAAAGCATTTCTTTGAGATGTGGGCGTAGCATAAAAATCCAAAGGCTCGAAGATGGCTATGACCCCCAAAAATATTGCTAATTCCATCATTATTTGATAGAGTTTCTTATTATGGATCGTGGGTTAGCCTATCACGATGCATATATCACGGTGCATTAGGTGACCGGCATTGAAAGAACATGGGACTATTACCTCTATTCATTACCTACGTATAAAGTTTCCTATCGAACATGGCATCACAATTGTCTGAGACAATCAAATTGGATCATGAGAGTGCTATCTCAATTTCTTGAGGAGCTGAACCTCGTAGTGTTAACATGGTGCTGCTTGACACTGAAATACTTGATGCACCTGGAGAAGGGCAAACCTCTGAACAATGAGGAAACATCATAATGATAGATTTCACTGCAAAAGGAAAGATTCT